ACTAGGAAAATTTCAAAATCCCTTCTGTTTCAGATCATCAAAACTATTAATCAGTAATATTTACTTGTGACAGGTTTCTCTAAGCCAAGTTTCTTCGAACAAATCACGTAAATGTCTTTAAACAGATGAACATTATTGAAAGGGAGAAATTCATGAGGGAAAGAGGGTAAATGTAGGGTATGGTACTAAAAATTTGGAAATATTCCAAATTACAAGCTTAAAATACAAATAAGGGAATAAAAAGAGTATGTGGACTTTAAGCTAAGAATGACTGACTGACTATAAAATGGGAAGGGGAATGCTGAGTGTAACTGTCTGCTATCTCAGGCTGGCTCCAACATGACCACACTAATTTCAGGGCATTCTTGCCCCTCTCCACAGCCACACTGCGACAGCAACACCATCCATGCCCTCAAACAGATGAAGATGGTGTTGGTCATACTGCACAGGGTGGGGAGGTAGGGTAAGGGAGAATTTCAAAAGAGAAGATTTTTTTATGTTGAATGTTTACTTTGTAATTAGATAACTGGGCAGATATCTCATCAATCGATCAAGGAGTCAATCCTATTTATTAATTGATCATGTATTTTTTTATAACCTATTCACTAAATAAGGAGTGCTCTGTCCTGCTCTGGGGTTTTAGTCCTTTTACCTTGGAAAAGAAGCAAGGAGAGTGGCTAAAGTTAGGTATTAGAGAGAAGGAAAAGACATGACCTTCAATTGGAAATCAAAGCAAGATGTCAGGTTTTGTAGAAGTGTTTCATTACAATAGCAAAAACAGGCTGCCCTCTAAAATCAACCTGAGCAAGAACTCCATGGCCTGAATCAGGGACAAATGCTCATGTCCCTTTTCCATCTGAGGCACACCCCAACTCCAGCTTCCTGTTTCTCGGTGATTTCTTGGTACCTGTTCTGTTTCCTGTTGTACAACTGTGAATCTGATGCCTTCTCTATTTTGCTCTTAGCATCTTGTATCCAGATCTGACAACAGATCCTTCATTGGTCCCGCAGCTCTGCCCATGGACTTGGTCCAAACTTTAAGTTTAGTTCCTGTAAGCCCTCAGGTCTGGGCAAGCTGTGTTCCAAAAAGACAACAATAGTCTACCACAAGCAAGACCTGGGCTCTGATGACAGCCCCTCATTCTTCCCGAATGCAAAGGCTACTCTTTACTGTAGCAGTAAGCCTGGGGCCTTGAATATGGGCTGCAGTGTTTCCCAAAGCCTTCACCCCAGCTGGAGCAGTAAATGACAAGAATTAACTAATGGTCACTCTCACCAAGGTACATGCCTGGGAGGAGGGGTTGAGTTCTCACAGGAAATATCTGTAAGGAGCTCTCATTCCATTCCAAAATCTGGGATAGGAGGCAGAAGGGGTTTGCATACTTCTGTCTTTTAGACACACCCGGGGTTCCTTGGCTTATATGTGATCTTCCATTCCTGATTTTCTTCCTACCTCCCTGGATGCCCCTGCTTTGTACTTACCACCTTCAGCAAGCTTGGTCCTAGGCCTTTATTATTCATCATTATCAACTCTCTAGGAAATCTCCACTCCAGTGCTTCAAAATGCTGAATACTTACAGATTTATACAGTATCGAATGGTATAGTAGCTCCAATCTAGACTTTCTCTTGAGCTATAGACCTACATATACCACTATCTGATCTCTCCTTGGATAACTCCAAACTCCTCAAATTCAACATATTCAAAAGAGAACTCCCCATTTCTCCACCAGCCCGGGTATCCAATAGCATTCCCCAGCTTAGTAAATGACACCAGCATCCATCCAGTTTCATAGCCAGGAACCTAGGGCCATCTGAGGAACTCTGTCTTCCCCACTTTCTGTACTTAGTCTATTTCCAAGTCCTGCATAACTTCTGAAACTACTTCCTTCCACCTTCACTACTACTATTGAAGTTGAGAGACTTAAGTTAGAGTAAAAATAATAAAAGCTCACAATTACCAAATGTTTATTATATACAAGGCAGGCACTTTTTAAAAACTCTATATAAATGATCTCTCCTAATCACCGTATGTATTAGCTTCCTAGGACTAATGCAACAAATTACCATAAACTAGGTAGCTTAAATTAAAAGAAATTGATTATTTCACAGTTTTGAAGGCTAGAAGTCTGAAATCAAGGTATCAGCAGAGCCATGTTCCCTCCAAAAGCTCTGGGGGAAGATCCTTCCTAACTCTTCCAGCTTCTGGTGGTTCCCGGCATTCCTTGACTTGTGGCAGCATAACTCCAATCTCTGAACCATCTTCATGTGGTTGTCTTCTCCCTGTATGTGTCTTCTTGTCCTTTGTTTCAAATCTCCTTCTGCCTTTTTCTTAAAAGGCCTCTTGTCATTGGATTTAAAGCCCACCCAGATAATCCAAGATGATCGCCTCATCTCAAGGCCCTTAGGTACATCTGTGAAGACTCTTTTCCCAAATAAGGTAACAATCACAGGCCCCAGGGATTAGGAAGTGGACATCTGGGGTCACCATTCAATCCATTACACACTAAAAAAGTAAGTGTAGTTATTAGTCCCCTTGGATAGATGAAGCAGTTGAGACATAGAGAGTTTAAGGGACTTGTCCAAGTTCACACAGCTAATATGAACATGAGATTTATGTTTGATTTATAGTTTCCGTACTTTCAGGAAAACACTTTAAATACTTTTCTGAAAGGAGTACCAGTTTCAAGAAATTTGCCCCTTAGATGCCAAATATTGCTCCTTCAATCCATTCATTACCAGACTATACTAGGTGTTATCTTCTGCAGTTATAGACCAGATCTGTGCCTGGCATGATGTCTGTCATACAGAGGGTGCTTAATAAACATCTGGGAATAAATTAATGTGATCATATCACCAGCCTCATCAAAAATCATTAAAAATCCCACATTGCTTAAAATGAGTTTCACACTGTTCAGTAAAGCATTTAAAACCCTTCAACCCTCCATAAAATTTAAAAAAATAATAATTTTGGAATGAGGACAGTCTTCCTAAGAATGTCCAGAAGTCATGGAAAAAGAGGTCGATAAATTCGGCCATGGAATTTTAGCATGGAAAAATTTCATAAGTAAAGTAAAAAAAACAGTGGTCTGGAAAAACATTCACAGCACATATTACACATATGTGCCTAATGTCCAAAGGAAACAGGTACCTTCATTTATTTTTGTAGGAATGTAAACTGATGAAGCTTCTTTGAAGGGAAGTTTAGAAAAAAAAAAACAAATAAACTGTAATTTATCTCTTCCCTGACCCAGCATTTCCACTACTAGGAATTGATTCTGTAGATCATCTCTCACTTTGGCACAAAGCTGTTCACGGCTACACCCTTTGCAATACAACCTGGTTGGAAATAACCTAAATGCCCACCAATAGGAGCTGGTTAAATCCATTATGGTACAACGATAACATGGGACACCATGTGGCCCTTTAAAAACGAGGCACGTCTTTATGCATTAGTGAGGAAGAAGTTAACTCAAGATGCAGAACACTACATATAAAGTGCTACAATTTTGTAAACAATGAAAAAAACATATATGTTTATTCACTTATGTGGTATACATACATACGAATATTTTTTGAGAAATAAACCTGAAACTTGAAACCACATTTGCCTTTGAGAAAAGAACAGTAAAACTGAATACCAGGGTGGAGGGAAGGTTTATTTTTCAGTGTAAACTCTATTGTATTGCCTGAATTTATTTTGCCATGTGTTTGCACTGCGCATGAGAGAGAGAGAGAGAGAGAAAGGGAGAGAGAGAACTTATAAGCTAGTTTTCACCTAATTTTCCATCTTGATTTCATACCTGCACCTGACAATTCATTGCTTCCCAAACAAACTAAGTCTGTTCAAGTTGAGAGTGTGTGTGTGTGTGTGTGTGTGTGTGTGTGTGTATCTAATATCCTATCATCTTTGACTCCCACACTTTCTGTCTATAGAAATCCTGCTTTTGAAAAGCTCTCTGTGCAACCTCCCTAATCTTCAGTGTTGGAATCAACCACTCTTATCTCCCGACTCAGAAAACCCCTATTCCTCCTGCTTGGAATTATAGTTATGTTCTCAAGTTGGCCATTCTCATTAAAGTAGTTGCAAAAAGGAAGTGCTGGCTTCTGTGTTCCCTGGAACACAGCATTGCTGAATGTATGTCATTAACCAAAAACTAGTAAGCAGAAGAGTCATCTAGAACAATCTATTTCCCATGATGAATCCTCCTTGGCATGACTATCTAAAATAGCAAATCCAAAATCCTCAAAGCTGAAGATAAAGCCAATACCGTATATCAGATAAAATGATTATGAGAGATATACGTGAAATGAAATAGGAAACTACACTTGAACTATATTAGAGCTAAGAGAAAAATGAAAGAAAAAAAATGATTTCTGTTATAATACAGAAAAGATAGCCCTGACATTTTTTTGTTTTTTTAGCCAAACACCGGAACTTTGGTCATAAAATAGGCACACACTGATTTTCATCATGGAGCAGGCTATTTCTTAGATCGGAATCAACAGTGCTCTCCATCTTTGCTGCCTCCCCCCCATAAAGGTCCATAGCAATGCAATTCACTCGACTGCATAAACACAGTCTTTTCCAAGCAAAATTTCCCAAATCACAAGTTTATGATTTTTATTTATTTATAATAATTTATTCATGATTATTTATTATAAGTGTATGATTTTTCATTTCTTTTCTTTTTTCTTTTTACTTTTTTGCCATCAATTAAACCCAAGTCTATCCTCAGTGATATGGGAATGAGTGTTGATGGTCACATTACCCCACATATTTAACTTTTATGTACGCTAAGGCACTTCTTGGTAATTGATTATATACTGCCTACCATAAGCAATAAAACCAATTTTTCTAGAACTGCTATTCTGCTTTGGATTCTATAGAAAGATAGAGGACTACCCATTTCTGTTGGTTTTATAACAACATATGAAGTAAAATAAATACAATATAGTAAACATTAAAAATGGCAATGATTAAAAGTTTACTTCAACTTACTGTCAATGCTGTTTCGTACTCTTCAGCAGCTAGGTATGCTAAGCCCAAGTAATAGGAAGCTTCTCCTTCCATCCTTTTGTCACTTCCTAAAGTTGAAAATATAGAAAAATTGCCATGGCATTAAAGAAACTGATTTACTACAAGGAACAGAATTCTTGCTTTTTAAGACAGCAGAAAGTTGTAACAAAGTGTACAGACTTATGAACAATCCCTGAAACTTCACTGTGTGCTGATTTTAAAAGGCTGATATTAATATAAATTACGTGACTCATAAATGTTAGACTATAGTGCATTAGCAATGTAAGCAAGAGGAGTTTTCCTCTACATATTCAGCTCGGTATCATCATTTTGAGATGCATATGTGATTTCTACACTAGTCCACTATGTAAAGGCTCACAGTCATGCAGCATAGCTGCTACTACAGACATAGAGTAACTGGTAAAGTGTACCAGCTTTACAGGGTGCAAAAACACATATACATGGAGAAAAGGACATTCGGGCAAGTCTCTAACAGAGCAAATAATTAGCAAATTAAGGAATTATTGTTTTGATTAGGTTTAATTTAAAAGCTATCGGTTAAAACCTGGGGTGAAAATGACTGACACCTTGCCTTCTTGGTACAACATCCCATGTGTATTTTGAAATCCAAACACATTTTTTCTTTGTTAATGACTGGTAATGCTTTTCATCATCTTTTCAAAGGAACTGTAGACTTTCTAATTTCTTTGAATGTATTTTGTTCCTGGAATTATCAAAATCTTCTTTCCAAAGCAATATGTATAGATGTGTAAGGTGCTTCAATAAGGCATATATCATACCATCTAATAAATTCACACGTTTTCACATTTATATACTAAATATATGTCAACAGACTTACCAGACCATTGAAGATTCTTAGTTTTAAAAAGAATACTATCCTCTTTCTACTTTTTGGCTTTCAATATTACCTAACTCCTGGGTAATACAAATGCCAGAGGATCTACACCTCCCCATCCCCCACCCCTGCCTCCTTTAGATGTCTGAACTCTGTGTTCCAGCCATGATGGATTTCAGCAGGAGCTAACAATTCTCCACACTGCGTTACTCTCACGACTCACTGAATTATCACTTGTGAGGCAGTGGCTCAACTGAAACTCTATAGGAAAACAGGATGGCAAATGCCAGTGACAGTATTGTTATTATTCTCAACCAATTTCATGATTGCAGAGAATTATACCCTGAAAATCTCACTTCAGCGGAGTTGATGGTGCCAATGATCCAGCCTGGGGATTTTTAACTCTTACAATTTATCTGGGCCTTAACTTCTTCTCTGCTGTAGGTTTATAAGTGCTGAGGATAAGGATGGACCTAGGGAAGGGAAGGATGGGGTAGGAAGGAGAGGTTATGACGGGAAGTTGCCTCTTGCATTTTTAAAATTGATTATAAGTTGTAGTTGCTCTATTAAATGTTGTAACTGTGTTAAAGTACTAACAGTGGCATGTGCTGATTTAGTATCACCATTTGCATCCAATTTTATGTAAAGGGCAGCCTAGCAAAGAAAAGAAGAATCGACCCTTTTTGATAAATTTTGAGGCAGCTAATTGAAACAGTTGAGTCACACTAAATATTAGTTTTAAAATAGGATTTAAGCCCAAGAACTTCTCCTGCTTCCTAAATGAAACAAAATTAAGATAAAGTGAAGGCATAAAATAATGGAGGGAAATGTCAGCATTATTAAAGTTGAATGACACATATACCAAAGGAAAAAAGGCAAAATACTATTTATATTATTGTGTAGTTTATTTGGGTGGGTTAAATTAGTATTGGCTTTAATGATTTAATAATCATTCATGTTAAAGGAAATATGGTGTTTCATTTTCAAGACCTAAATTGTCCATTCTTATACTGGTATGTCTGTAGAGAATATAAAGAGGGGGTCATCACAGGATTCTAATAGGTAGAGACAATGTGTTTGGGAATAACTCAAATGTTTCATTAAAATATATCTTAAAACTTCATTCGTTATTTGACTAACATATATTCACTAATTCATTAATTCACTAAATATTATTGAGGACATATTCTGTTTCAGGTACAGCTCTAAGCACTTGGAATACACCACTAACCAGAAACATTTGCTGTCCTTGGAGAGCTTACATTTTAGAGGAAAGGGACAGAAAGACATACAAAATAAATAATAAACACAATAAATTTTGTGGTAAATTGTATGGTGATAAGTACTCTGGTAGAAAGAAATATATATAGCAGGGCAAGGGGAATTGAGAGTGCTAAGTGGGGGGTAAAGAGAAAAAAGCAGGTTTCAATATTAAGTACTGCTGTCAAAGTAGTAGATCCAACTAAGAAAATGGTATTCACAAGAAAATGAAATTGGGAATTGATAACAAAGCATATGGGAGACTCACAAGTATGTGGAAATTAAACATATTCCTAAATAACGAGTGGGTCAAAGAAGAACTCAGAAGGTAAACCAGAAAATACTTTGAAATGAATGAAAACAAACAAACAAAAGAACAATGAAAACTAACAGGATCCAGGCAGTGCATACTGTATAGATATAAATACCTATTTTAAAAAATAAGGAACATCTTTTCACCTTCTAAAACTAGAAAAAGAAGAACTAACTAAACCTGAAGGAAGCAGAAGGTAGAAAATAATAAAGACTAGACTGGAAATAAGTGGAATAGAACAACAATAGAGAAAGTCAACAAAACTAAAAATTGTTTCATTGAAAAGGTCAACAAAATTGACAAACCTTTAAGCTAGACTGAACAAGGAAAAAAGAGAGATGTCTCAAGTTACTTAAATCAGGAACAAAAGAGGAAAGATCACTATAGACCTTAGAGAAGTAAAAAGGACTATAAGGGAATATTATCCAACTATACCAAAAAATTAGATAAACTAGATGAAATAGACAAATTACTAGAAAGGTATAAACTACTGAAATTGACTGAAGAAGAAACAGAAAATCAGAATAAATCCACAAGTAAAGAAACTGAGTTAGTAATCAAACGAATTAGTAATCAAACTGTTTTCCACATAGAAAATCCCAGGCCCAGAGGGCTTCACTGGGGAATTCTACCAAGTATTTAAAGAATAATCAATACCAATTTTTCACAAACTCTTCCAAAAATTAAGAGAAAACACTTTCCAAATCATTCTATGAAGCCAGTATTATTTTGACATCAAACCAGATAAAGACATCATAAGAAAACTACAAACCAATATCTGTTATGAATATAGATACTAAAAGCCTCAACAAAATAATTAGCAAAGTGAATCCAGCAACATATAAAAAGGATCATGTATCACGATCAAATGGGATTTATCCCAGGAATGCAAGATTGATTCAACATATGCAAATCAGTCAAAGTAATATGCCATATGAATAGGAAGGCTAAAAACCAAATGATCATCTTAATAGATGCAGAAAAAGCATTTGACAAAATCGAATCTTTCGCATGATAAAAATCTTCAACAAACTTAGAAGAGAACTTAATAACATTAAGGAATATCTACAAAAATCCCACAGCTGACATTATTCTTAATGGCAAAAGACTAAGAGCTTTCACCCTAAGATCAGGAAGAAGACAAAGATGTATACTGGAGTGAATTCTATTTAACACTGTGCTGGAAGTTCTAGCCAGTGCAATTAGTCCAGAAAAATAATGGCATTGTAAAGACATTACAAAGGAGGTAGACTTTAACTTCTAAGGGCTTTTTGGCTGGGCCCAAGAATTAAATTGACATAAGACAGATTAATAGAAGAAAAAAACACACCAATTTACATAAGTATTAGGTGACATGGGAACTTTCATAAGGAATGAAGAGCCAAAGAAACTGTAAAATCTACATGCTTCAATATTGGATTGAACAAAGGGAGGCAATTGTGGGAAAGTAACGAAGCAATGCAGGGAGGCTAAAGGAAAATAAAGATTATTTTAGAAAAGTCTGTACAAAATTCTCTTGGCTTTGACTTTTCATAGAAGAATGTTTCTTTTCTTGTGGTGCAGGGAGGGCATCTTTCCCATGGCAGTTTTTATCTCCTGTTTTCAGGAGGAAAAGGGGAGATTACATACCCTTCTTGTATCTCTGTTGTTTTTCAAGTGATTTTAACTCAAATTCTCCTTATGCCAAAGTGGTTTTTTGGGTTGTATGTTCTGTCACCACTCAGCACCAAGATCAGAAAGGAAGAAGTTAAATTATATTTGCAGATAACGTAATATTATACATGGAAAAATCCTAAAGAATCCACAAAAAACCATTAAAACATTTAGGGGATACAAGATCAACACACAAAAGTTAATTTTATTTCTACCTTCAAGCAGTGAAAAATCTGAAAATGAAAGAAAAAAATTCATTTCTAATAGCATCAGAAAAAAACTGTTAGAAATAAATTTAACAAAAGGGCAAGCTGTATATATGAAAAACTACAAAACATCATTGAAAGAAATGAAATATGTAATAAATGGACAGATAACCAATATTCATGGATTGGAAAACTTAGTGTTAAGATAGCAGTATTCTCCCAATTGCTTGACAGTTTCAATTCAATCCTTAGGAAAATTCCAGCTGTCCTTTCTGCAGAAAAGTACAAGGTAATCTAAAATTCATGTGGAAATGCAAGTGATGCAGAATAGCCAAAACAATCTTGAAAAAGGATAGTGGAAGACTCACATTTCCTAATTTCAAAACTTACTACACAACTACAATAATCAAGAATATGTGGTAGTGGAATAAAGACAGATACATAGATCACTACAATAGACTCGACAGTCCAGAAAACAACCCTCACATTTATGGGCAATTTATTATTGATGAGGGTCCTAAGACAAATTATTGGAAAAGAATAGTGTGTATAACAAATAGTACTGGGACAGCTGGATATCCACATGGAAAACATAAAGTTGGACCTTCATCATATTCCCCTTCACACACACTTAAAAATAGACTATAGGGGCACCTCTGTCAAATAAATAAATAAAATCTTAAAAAAACAGACTATAGACTTAATTAAATATAGGAGTTAAAATTGTACAAAACACCTAGAATAAAATGTAGTAGTAAATCTTCAAGACCTTGGATTTGTGGAAGGCTTCTTAGTTATAATACCAAAAACACAAACAGCAAAACAAAAAATAAATTATTTTGGACTTCACCAAAATCAAAAACTTGTGCTTCAAAGGGAAGTGAAAAGAAAACCAATTATTTTCAAGTCATATCTCAGATGAAGAACTTGCACCTAGAATATATAAATACTTAAAACAATTCAATAATAAATCGACAACCCACTTGAAAATGGGCAGAGTTTGAATAGACATTTCTACAGAGACGCTATGCAACTGAGCTATAAGCCCATAAAAAGATGTTCAACATCATTAGCTAACAGGGAAATGCAAATTAAATCCACAGTGTAGTACCATTTGATACCTACTAAGATGGCTATAAACAAAAAGAAGGACAGCAACAAGTGCTGGTGAGAAAGCTTATGGGAGAACTGAAACCCTTACACATGGCTGGGAAGAATGTAAAATGGGACAGCTACTGTAGAAAACTCTATGTCATCTCTTCCTTAAGTTAAACATAGAGTTACCCTATGACCCAGCAATTCCACTTCTAGGTCTGGAGACAAAAGACTTGAACACTTGTACACAAATGTTCATAGTAGCATTATTCATAATTGACAAAAGGTGGGAAAAACATAAATGTTCATCAACTGACGAATGGATAAAGAAAATATGACATAACCATATAATGGAATGTTATTCAGCCATAAAAAAGGAATATAGTAGTAATATATGTTATAAGATGGATGAACCTTGAAAACATTATGCTAAGTGAAAGTAGCTGGACACAAAGGACACACATTATGTGATTCCATTTATATGAACTTTCCAGAATAGTTAAATCCATAGAGACAGAAGGTAACGTAATAGTTATTAGGGGAGAGGGAAAGTCGAATATGGAGAGTGACTTCTACTGAGTTTGGCATTAGTGTTTTGGTTGTACAACTTTGGGACTATACTAAAGACCAATGAATGACTGAAAAATGAAAATAAATTGAATAATCGAAAGATGAGACCACTGCATGGCCAGTGTTATCCTTGTGCATTATACCAAGTGCCCTAGTAAAGGAGTTGGGCCACAGTGGATGTCAGGACTCCTTAAATGTTATGCAAACCAGGGTGGGAGGCATGCTTCATAAGGCAGGCCATCATCAGTTTGCTGCTTCAGGCTCCTTAACTTTAAGTAAGACATAATAGCAAGAAAAAATACTTTGTCCTAGGGCATTCAGCTGTTGTCAGAGCTCTTGTAAGATACTGTGTGATCCCTTAACCTATCTACTTTGTTATATAGGAAATGCAGGCGCAAATATTTATCACCTTTAAAAGATATTTTAAAAATTATTATAGCATAAGATTTCTCCTGTTCTCCTTATCTGTCCTTTGAAAAGTAAGAGACGCTTTTAAAAGGAGACTGCCTGGCAGGCTCTGACTGTGTGAAGACATCCTCGGAGCCTTCCTTTCTTTGTAAACTACAATTTAGCAAATGTGAACCTAAAGCAAAATACCTTTTCCTAATTAATACATTACTTTCCATGGAAATTCCACATGACCTTCCATCTGACTAAAGTTAGCTGCTGAAATTGATCTAAGGGCTACCTATTCATGTGACTATTTACCCCTTTGGGGAAGGAGTAGATCACCAGTCATTCGAAAGCAGTTCATTCAGTGGGATACATCTTTCAATGAGGGTGATTTCCTATAAGTATTATAATATCATTAAAAAGAAGTAACGGAGAGAATAAGCTAACATGTTTACTTTTACTCTTTAAAAAATTAAAATCACAGCCAGAAATTCAGTCCTGCTTTTTCCAAATAAGCCGTATGTTACTTGATAAACCAACCAATTAAATATATCCTGAACTAATAACACTTTAAGGAGCATAGTTTCTTTTTCTCCTTCATAAAAAGTCAACTCTTTTGATAAATAATGGTAATAAAATACCTTTACATTTTACAAAGTAAAAGCTTATGAGTATATGCTCCAAATTTTTTTCTTTATATTTTACACATATACACATGATATAGAATATTGAGAATATGATCAGCTCTCATGAAAGCATTTTTACTGCTGTAAATGTGCATATGAATCACCAGGGGAGCTTCCTAACCTGCAGATTCTGAGGCAGGAGGTCTGGGGTGGAGCCTGAGATGCTGCTTTTCTTACGAGCTTCTAGTGACGCTGATGCTACCAGTGCAAAGGCCACACTTTGACAGGCAAGGGTCCAAAATATACCAGAGTTCTATTTTTCTGTTACTCCTAACTAAATATTTATCCTTATCTTCCCTTACCTGACAATAAGGACTTTACAAACATTGAGAGGTCTCTCAGATTGAGAGAAATATACACCCTCAATCACACACACAGACACACACCCTTAACTTTTGCAAATGACCTTACCTTGTCATTATAGGTTCATTGTTTTATAATGCTACTCCCAGAGGGTTGTAATTTTGGAGATAAAGCTTTCAGGAAATTAATGGGTTTCTTGTTGTCAGCACTAAGACACCTCTGTTTTACAGTGAAATCTGAAAGTATATTAATGGCATTTGTCTTTGCATTTCATAGGAAATAATCACCCAAACACTTGACGAGGTTTACTTCACTCTTGGGAGAAGCAGTGTCTGCCCATTAAAGGAAGCAATGCAAGAGTGTTCTTTTCCACCCACCTTCTTTGGCTATTTCAGAAGCTTTTATTAGAATTCTGATGGCCTGTTTGTATTCTTTATTTTCCAGCATTTTGTCTGAGAGTAATCTGTAGGTCCTCAGGAGACTCTCACAGGCCAACAAGTTGAGAAAGCGGCCTGTCTCGTCCTTCCATATCCGCCCTTGCGTCAACTGATGGAATGCTTCATAATGCTCAGCAGCTTCCAGAAGCTGACCTGAAGAATAAAAGCCATTCATAAATATAAACCACAGGCCAGAGCACATTTTCAAAAATTTTGTATACATCTTGTGTTTTACTATTAAAGGGGGGTGGAGACCATGGAATACAGTCAAGCATTTCTAAGGATGAAGAGGACGTAAGCTGGGAAAGGAGCGATCTCAATCCGGACCTGAGATTCAGCGATGATTTTGGATGAACACCTGCTGGAGGGATGTGTCTTGGCAAGTAGAAACTGGAGAGGATTACGCATGTTTAGAAATGGGGTGAAAACCCAGTAATAATTACTAATAGCAGTGCTGTTAGCTGATCTTTATCTGACATTATGTACGTAAGGTCAGGTGCTACATACTTTATATGAATTTCTCATTGAATCTTCAAAACACTCCTGTGAAACAGGGATTGCTATGACCCCATTTTTACAGATGATAAAGTGAGGTTAGGATTTTTGCCCATGATTGCATGGCTAGTGGCTTTGTACATCCAGGCAGTCGGAGTTCAGAACCCATGCTCTCCACTACCTTCCTATGCTGCTTTTCAAAAGACAGCATCTGTTTCATTCCCAAGAAGAATTCAGGTACCTTAAGAAAGGAGGTGTCTGTTGCAAATTTCAAATTCAATTATTATGCAGGCATTTGTATATTCCGTTTCATCTTTAGTAATTAAAATACAACTTAACTGCTTTTGGGATTATATATTATAATACAGTTCAAAATATATCTTCTCAAAGCCGGAACTCCAAATTAGCTTTCAGTCATTTCACTCCTTGAAATATGAGCAAGCCTGTTTCTGGAAGAGTAGTGTGCAGTTCCACGCTGTGGACTGCATTCTACGTGTGAACTGCCTTGTGAAAATCCTCACAATACTCCGCAGTGTAAATACGCTTTCCCGGTACTGGGAGTTACCTACACTGAAATCAAATGGGGAGGCACTTATATGTGGGCATTCCCATAGTAGTGGTTAAGACTGGTGCCGGCTCCAAGCACGCAGCTTGGGTGCTTATCCCAGCTTTACCCTCTCCGCTGTTCAGCCTCAGGCTAATTACCCTTTCTGTGCGTGAGTTTAATTCTTTTACAAAATTCTTTTACAAAATAGGATGATAGTGTACACTATTCAAGGTGTTATTGTGAGAAATGGATCAATATATGTTCAATACCTGAACACGGTATTCTCTAAGCATAACTTATTCTTCCTGCAAAAAATGTAGTTGAGTCTTTATGACACTATTACCATGGCTGATTAAATTAACCTATGCAAGTCTTATCAGGCTCAACATATTTTCTCGAATAGGTTTCATTAGGTATCACAGGTTAGATAATATAGAGTATGGCAGCCGCTGCCATGACTCTTCCATATAATTTCCCCCTATTTTTGCCCTGAATTTGATGTCAAAATTAGTATTGAAGTAGTAAAGTATATACACATAAGTAAGAACAGCATTCACAGAGAAATACAATAAACAGAGGTAGATAATCAGCAAATAACCTACAAAAACACTGAGTAGAGACATGGCCAGTCTGAGCCCCTGTTGCACTATGCAGGAGGGCATAGCTGTTGGGATACACACAAGAGGGGAATGTGTACAGCAGAGACATTTAGAAACTTATCTTATGAAATTTTCACATGATACAAGACTACAGAGCCATAAATATGATACTATACAAGAATATTTCATTACATGGACAGGTGTTTGTGGTAAGTGAAAATATTGGAAAACAGAAAACATTTACAAAGCATGATCAGTGTTACTTGGTTGACTGATGGTTTCAATTTCCTTTCTGATTATTGGCATTTTCTAATGTTTCTATCATCAAAATATGTTTATTTTGTAATAAAAATATGGGATAGAAGCTATTTTTAAAATAATGCCCAATCTTTTTTCATTTTGATGCAAATACTTAAGGTTGAAGTTCACTGTTCTAATCTATCTTCACATTTAACTCACAATTTTTCTCTTACTTCCCACAATAGCAGGCATACTTCCTCATCTCTTTCCTGTAGCACCTCTCACCAGAAACACCTTTCCTCAAATACCCATGACCCTCGTTTTTTTAAAAACTCAAATGGAGCACTGACATATATGTGTGTTATGTTTCCTCTGTTAACTATATTTCTGCCTGTAAAGTATAGCTCTGTATTCCTAGAAAGATGTATACCAGAGTTCTTTTTTTTTCTTTCCCATCCAGCATCCGTCTACTCATAAAGTACAGGTACATATTTCTCTTTGGTCATGTGAATAGGGAAAGATAGATACAGGGAACTGTGAGTAAACCAGTTAGATCCAGAAAGAAAAAAAAAATTGGGACTGTAAGGAGACTAGGAAGAACCTAATGGCATCTGTGGTTACACACAATAGCCAGATGGAAAGAGGGTCTAAAGGTGTGCTATAAAATAACAGATTCACTCACACTTCCAGGAGGAGAGCCAGGAGGTGAAGCTCTGGATAACCCAACTAATTACAATGAGATGCAAATGAGGCAGAAAGATGTTAATAGTATTATGACAACGGATGGCCATGTCCAAGATCTGGTGTACCTGGGAGCAGAAAGAAGAGGCAGGGAGAGGAAGGGAAGGGTAGAAAGTGGGGAAAGGAGAGGTAGAGAGAATGGAGAAAGGGATAAAGGTGAGGAAGAGTGGAGAAAAGGTGGGGTTTGTATTCCCTAACAGCTAGACTCCTCTTCGTGTTACAGGCGCTATTCAGCATCCTGGACAGGCTGTCTAAGCAGAAATGAAATACAGGGGGTTTCAGGGACATTGGTTTCAGTTGGTTACTATGGCCAGCAACCTTGGAATAAGGTTAAGTTTGATTTTTTACTAAAGCTTTGAGGGCTCATCTTGGTGTCTTACTTAGCTCATGATTATTGGCCAAGGTTCAGCTCTCAGAAGAGTAAACTTAAGGTTTCTCATGAGAAAGGAGCCTGGTCCAAGATGCTGGGGAGAAAGAGAACAAGGTACTACTCTTTCCCGAAGGCCTACTGGATGCTCATGAAGATGGAAGGATTTTCCCCCATACATTATCTTACTTAATCTTCCCAATACTGATGAAGTATATATTATCATAACTTTTACATTAAAGAGAAAATTGAGACTCGTGAAGGTTAAATGACTTAAATAGCTAAAAAGTGATGTTTAGGATTTAAATCCAAGATCGTAAAAATCCCATGCCTCTTGGTTCCACCACCCCAGGTGCTGGTCAAGAAACCAAGCCTCAGGAATAAGGATGAAGTAAGTTCCATTCTCCGGACATAAATCTCTCAAGTTAAAAACAATGTTAGAGCTATATGATTTCTAGTCTCTTCCAGTTCTATAACTCTTTGACTCTATTCAGGCAATTGCAGGTAATTTCTAACATAAAAGCACAGATATTAGCCCCTAATGTGCTTCTGATTGGTCTTTCTGAAGGATCCTGATGTATAACCAGCTATGCATCCTGCATCTAAATTCCCTACTTTCCCATAAAGCATGTGGTGACATCCATGGGGCTCCTGGAATTCCTAGGGTGTCCCAGACTCAGTCAGCTGTGGCCACATCTAGGATTCACTTTCCCTTCCTTAACCACATTGCCACAGATGAGGTCACTGGGGATTCTATTTTAAACCAAGGTGCCTAAACAGAGACAGTAGTGTTTCCAGTCTTTCTCAGATGTAAAAAATGTATTTCTAAACTTATTTGGTGGCAAACAGATGAGTACAGAAGCTAGCAAGGTTTTGATCCAAATAATCATAAGCACACAAATGACTACACTTTCTGAAGGCTGGTCAGAATTGAAAGCACATATTATAATATGGTATATTTGATTTTAAAATATTAAAATATAGTCTGTATTATGAAGGGAGCATAGTAATTTAAATATGTAAGTATTTCCCTTTAAGCATGATTAACAATGGAATGATTTCCATTTAATTTATATTTTCAACTATGAGTAGGATTTCAAAGATTTTCTTACTTTCTGGGTAAAGACTGATATTAGTATTAAGACTAAATATTTATTAAGACCTAATGTATCCTGTTTTATCTGAAAAAAATTTAAATTTAATATACTTGAGAGAAATATTACAAATGGCCATCAATATAATGGTTATTTTGACAAAGCTAAATGTAAAAATAAATGAAAATCATGAACCAGTATTTTGGCTTACAGCATCCTGTTGTAACTTCTTTAACGTGTTCATATATAGTCTACTCTTTGTTACCAAAGAAACTTTAAAATATCAGAACCAGGTGAGATTTCCAGATCCTACAACGAATTTTGTGGAAGGACAAGTGTCTAGACAACTGTCCTTCTCTGGAATTGTCACGTGGTAACATTGTTTTCCATTGAAGAAGAGGGCAGAGAGGATTACAAGGTATCACAAAAATCAAAGTTAACTGAAAACGAGAGAGAAAAGAGAAGCTCTCAGGAATATTCATCCATAGGAAAGGTCTCTGGGGGCATGTGAGCTTTCTCAAGTGACAGGGGGAATTACAAGTAAATCTCCATCATCCCTCTGATAACAAAGGTCTCGGGAGTAACCTCGGTAAAGACAACTAGAGCTCAACTAAGTGCCTGGAATGCATGGTTCTATGCGAAGCAAAAATCCAGAGACGTCACTAATATTTCAAGTGAAGTGAATATTTCAAGGAAGAAAATGGAGCCAAAATGTTTTGTGGGAGGGAGTAAAGTCCTCCACCAAGACCATCAGAAATCATTTCACTCAATAATACAAGGTGCTACCAGAAAGCACTTAGGAGATACACCGACAAGTGTATAAAACAAGAATCTCCTGGTATGGATGGAAGTATACTAAGCCTCGGTTCTGGCGTTTTTGTTTGTTTGTTTGTCTTAGAAATAATTACAGGACATCTACATAAACAATAGGGAGGTTGGTATGCATTTATAGCTTTTCACCTGAAGGAAAGTGCACTCTTAAAAAACTCTTACAAAGTAGATTCACTTTACCTAAAGCCCACACATCCAAGAAATCCATCCATTTATTTAAAAAATACAAATAAAACCCA